TCTGAATCACTTCTAACTATGTTAGAAATGTATCAGTTGCCAATGAGTAATTTCTTGATGAGTTTGTTATCTTTAATAAAATATACATTTATCATTCCATATCTCTCTGTCGGCTCTGGGTAAGCAGGTTTTCACAGGCTCCCTCCCACACCATTGGTTTCATTTATTATTATTTATTTATTTGGGGACAATGTACATGCATGGAAATCAAATACAAAAGTGCCTGAGTCAGAGGAAGCTTAAAATGAGTAATCACTTGAATCAGTTGCTCCTAATCTGTCATTGTCTCCTGCCCCTGGCAATTCATTTCCTTTTTGCGAACACTTTTAATTTTCTTATTCCCTAAAGACATCACCAACATTTAAAATGACCAGATTATTCCATTGTGCTGCGCAGAACCAATTCAAAAGAGCTATGTCGCCTTTGTTAAGATTTTAGTTTATGTGTTTAATAAACTGGGAATTAGGGCAGGGAGCACTTTGACCAAGAGGATTTTCAGTTCTCTTCTGTGTAGTGTGTGTGTGTAATAAAATCATATTTTGTTTTTGTACCAGTATACTCAGGGAAGCAGATGGACAGGGGAGACTTGACGATCTTGCTCTCGAAAAGGTCCTTCTTGTTGAGGAAGAGGATGATGGAGGTGTCCTTAAACCACTTGTTGTTACAGATGGAGTCAAAGAGCTTCAGCGACTCGTGCATGCGATTCTATGACGGGAAAAGCAGAAATAAGATCTCCAGATACGAGAATATGAAAGTATTGTTGTATGACTCAAATGTAGGGCTGCGACTAATTATGTTGGGCTGCAATCGACTATGTTGATTTCTTGTTTTATTTTTTTGTAATTTCGGCTCTGTTCAGCAGTTAAGGTTTAATCAATGAATGTAATAGGCTCAATAATTGGTTATTGAAAACACTTGAAGGCAATTAAAAAATAACTGTAATTGCTGGACTATAAACCACTACCTATAGATATTTGAACAATGCTGACTACATCAAGATCAATTATTTCATTTTGTTAGAGCGCCCTATCGGGTAAAGGAACAGATTTGGACACAGCTCTATCAGACATTGGTCTCCCAAGCTGAGTCCAAAGCACACATTACTGCTTCAGTGAGTTTATGTGAACAGCAGAAACGAGGAAGAGCACATACACAAGACTTGTTTTTATGTGATTAGAAGTATTGTCAGAGCAGAGTTCATGGCCTTATCATTTTGATTCCATCAAGTTTTAGTAGGGATGGGACCATGGATCTATAATAATAACTGGATAGGGTATTACTAGCTTATAGCTGTCCCACCCATGGGCACAGGGGGGGCCTGTGGTACTGCAGACTAAATTCACGAGGGCTACCCAAAGATGTTGCCCATAGATCTCAATGTAAATTAAAACAGCTCGACCTCAGCTGACAAAGCACCTACAGCTTTCATAAAGGTCGGATTTTGTGGGGATTTTAGTGTCCCTTGTCATCCTGAACTTCTTTTCATCTTAAATCCTTCGGTTTTCTTTAAATCCACACTTTACTGCCACAAACTCTGCTCGTTTCCTTCCCGCTCTGACTCCTCTCCGCTGCTGCTCTGATCAGCAGCTCTGATTGGTCAGGGCGCGGCCGAGCCCCTCTGTGCACGTGCATGAGAGCCACACATGCGTATTTGGCGCAACGCATCATGGGAGCTCGTCCACTGCGCAGAACCGGGAGGACCAGACGATGCCCAAATATAGCAGAGTTCCGCTGATTTGTCAGCGCACGTGAAGTCCCATGCGCTACTGAGCACAAGCCATTCATTTGAATAAGGCGCCATCTTGGATCACCGGGGCTTGGATGGGACGCACATTAATCAAAATAGATGGGATAGATTGAGTGGATTTCTCAGAGTGCTTTGATCATGTGAGACCTCTGGGAACACCAGGTGCCACAGTGGGGAGGCTGCGGCTGTAGAGTGCCAAACTGTTGTGTCCTTAGGCAAGACAGTTTACCTGCCTAGAATGAGTCTGGTGTGTGTGTGAATGGCTGGTGGTGGTCGGAGGGGCCGATGGCACATACTGTTTGCCTCGCTTCTATCAGTGTGTCATAAACTACAGTAGTTTATCACAATCGTGTATAGTGTGAACGAATAATGCATGTGCCCAAAAAAGCTCTATATAAAACCAATGCATTATTATTATTTATCACGAGTCAACAGTGCGTCAAAGACCTCCTCATTAAATGTTGTGTCCACTTAAAACATTTGTGGAACAAAATGTTTAATAGTCCAGCAAGTAATTGTTACAGCTCTACTTGAATGACTCCAATGTATGTTGAGATGGAGATGATTAACACAATGTTAAGTATGTTAATGATCAAGATTAATTTAATATCACACATTAAATTCGTAACAGAGATGATCATCATGCAGAGTATAATTAAGAAAGCACCAATTATCAAAATGAAAATACATATAAATCAAACCAACGCATTATTGCATGATCCAGTCCCAAGGATTGTGTGAGTTTTGTATTTCAAGTTGAGTGAATGTGTGTATTAAGAGTTAGCACAAAGGGTAAAGAGTGCAAGCCATGCACTTTGAACAGTTAAGCTGTAATCCACTTCCCATGTTGCCACAAACTATTGCCGTCTTGCAATTATTATGGTAGCTTTAATAATGATTTTACCCCCTTTATATTAGTCTCGGCAAGCTCAGAATTCATTTTTCTCATCCACATGCAACAAAAAACAAAAATAATTACCACAAACGCAGCACTCATCCTTGTAATAATACTACAATACCACATTTAAGTCATCAAACACACAAAGTGAAAGCAGTCGATAAGAAGAACATGCATAAGCACTTACATGGCACACAAACCTAAGGGGAGGGTTCATACCTGCCAGTGGGCGGAGCATCTGCAGTAGATCTGACTGCTGATTGGTTAGAGAAGACAGTCGGAGGCGAGAGTGACAGGAGGAGCGTAAGGAGCCAGAGATGCTGCAGGGCGGAGCTTAAAGCGTGAACAGAGAATGCAGGGAGCACTTGGGCTATGTCCTTTTGAGTAATATGTGTGAAAACCTCCAGTTTGAACAATACAGAGCTGTAGGGAAGTGTCATGTGAAAAAATTGTTCAAAGAGGAAAACATAATTGAAGCAGTTTGTGAGAGTTACAAAGCAGTGTCCATTTTGAGGCCGACACATAGTTCTTCAACAGCTTTTATTTGTCCATGTTTGTTGTCTCACACAAATGTGTCAAACCAGACAAAAACAGAGTAGTACTGCCGCATTTCTTTCTTCACCTTCCAGTACAAGATACAACTGTCACGACAGGTTGTAAAATAGAGACTTTGCATATTCAAATGCTTACAGTCCGACTACAATACAGTCATTTATTACATGCAATAACTTCCTTTTTATTTGGTACTATGTGTAACAAGATTATATATATATATATATATATATATATATATTCCCAGGCCTCTGGTAGAGGACCCAAGCTTAGAGAGGGATAACCGCCCGCGGAGGGCGAAAGGTGAGAATTTTTTTTTTTTACACACATATATATATATATATATATATATATATATATATATATATATGAAGGGCTTGAGGGTTCTGCGCAGTATCTTTGCTGTTCCTAGCACTGCACATTTCTGGACCGAGGTTGTTCCAGGGATCCGCTGTAACCACTCTTCTAGGTCGGGGTCACTGCCCCGAGTGCACCGATCACCACGGGCACTACTGTCACCTTTACCCTCCAGGCCCTCTCCAGCTCCTCTCATATATATGTATATGTATGTATATATATACTGTATATATATATATATATATATATATATATATATATATATATGGAGGAATAATATCATCAGATGTGACTTTCCTTCTGACGGAAGTGGTCATATGAGTTTCTATATCGCCGTTGATACAAAGCCAGATAAAGTGCATCAACGGAATGAATGTGTATTCTATATATAGAGCATGAGAAACCCATTTGCGTATCACCTGATAGCGCACAACGTAATGTGTATGTCCTATATTCACATTTATTCTGAAAATAAAATACTGGGGTGTTACCAAAAAGGATTAGAGAAATAAAACAATTTCTGGCAGTGTAATTAAATCTGGTGCAATAAGCCACCCAAAAGGAAGGAGTGTAATTATTAGCACTAAAAAGAGGGGGTGTTCATTTCCAAGCTGAACGTGAACTGCTCTAACTTTGCCAACAGCGCTGTACAGCCGACAGGACTGGTGGCTCTGATAGAGGACGTGGGAGCCTTTCAGAATCATTTGGCTGTTTGTTGGGTAATTAAAACTCCCACATTAATGTTTGCTCGTTTACAAATGTTGTCATTAGATTGTTTCTCTGAGGAAAACTGTGGCCAAAGCTCATGCTGTGGGGGCAGAGAGTAACTCACTGTATATCAGAGAGTATATTAGGCTTTGAATAAAGACATTGGACTAGTGTTTCACCAACACATAAAGAGCACACAGATGAAAGTGGCTGTAAGTGCACTTCCTTGAGCTCATTGGGGGTGTGTATGATGGATATCTGCTCTCCTTATGAGACGCTGCTGTGGAGCTCCCAGCACAGAGGGCACATGACAACATCTGCATAAAGAGAGCAGCTCCTAAACACCATTTCCCAGTACAAACCCCCACAGGGTATGTTGAAGAAAACATATAGTTCACACATTAGTAGAGTGGTTTCACTGTGTTGTCGTTTACCACCATAATTTGCAAATAGCAGATAATATTTTTCATGTGCATTAGATTTGCATGGTACATAGCTGCTATTTGTCTGTGTTCATAGAGTATGCAAAATTGCATCTACAGGACACACAAACTGTATACCGATTTGTCAGATCAAAGAAATAGAATGTGTTAATTAATGTATGCATGTTTAAAACAATAATACACTTTTACATGCTATTTACAACAGCCACTTACCTTTATGTATGCGGTGATGCAAATTCCACATTAAGGGAGAACTCAGGAAATTTAAAAAGTGAAGCGTGAAGCGTGCACTAACCGTGGTCTCGTCCTCGTGCAGCACCTGGTCGTATCCACTGAGCGCCACGCAGAAGATGATGGCCGTCACATCCTCAAAACAGTGGATCCACTTCTTCCTCTCTGATCTTTGTCCTCCCACATCAAACAGCCTGTCAGCAGAGAGGCAGTTCTACTATTATTTTGTGCTAATTCATAAGTGGTACTATAAAAGAAAGAAGGCACTTCACATGGGCTGTAATCTGTTAAAGAAATGAAAATACTAAAGCCTTTCCACATTTAGAAGTCAGTGGCTTAAAGTGTGTGTGTTGGACTGTTTATAGACAAAACACAGAACAGGAATACAGCCATCTCCCAGTATTGCTGTTGGTAAAAGCAATTTAGGTGACAGTATATTTTGGCTTCCAAAAAAGAGAAATCAAACATGCCCAGTAAGCAACTTTGTGAGAAACAGACTGAGGCACCTATCCCACTGTTAAATCCCTGCATTTTAGCATAAAAAGAAGTCAACAGTCAATTGCTGCAGTTTGTGGTAATAACTGAAAGGGAATTCCATATGCCCTACTAGCCCATCCAAGCATCTCTCTCACATTACCTATAACTGGAGGAGCACAAGTATATAAGGATGCGTTTTGCCAATAACCTGAAGTGGAGGTTTTTGAAGGTAAAATGTGTCTCGACGATTCCCGTGGTCTTGACCCGGGTCCTCAGGATGTCCTGCTCTGTGGGCTGATAGTCGGCCGCTCCAATTCGATCTAGACTGTCTAAGTAACTGCACAAAGACAGACAAGGAGAGTTTAGAGCACTGGTAAAACATTCAACATCAGATACATTTTGGCATGTGGCACAAGCACATATTTTCTTGATTTACTTAAAACATTAAAAAAGGTACGCAAGTACCTCTGAAATAAACTGAATGTGCCTTTTTAAACTCGACTTAAGTTGTTGTGAAGGAGACAACTTCCTTCTGTGAATGGTGCTACGTAATCAAACTCTCACTTACTCACTTCAATATCATTTTTGCATAATTCTAACAATGTTTTACTTTTTTTGCGGCCTGCAGTAAAAGTAAAACAAATTCTTAATTTGTATCAAAAATGGCTATACATGTAGGTAAGATACAGCAAGCACAACCACATTAGTCCGGTCCTCAGGTCTCTGCACTGGCTTCCTGTGGCTCAGTGAATAGACTTTAAAACAGCTCTGCTTGTGTACAAGTCTCTCCATAGCCTCACACCAAAATATATTAGTGACATGTTAGTCCCATGTGAACCGGCCCGGACTCTGAGGAGCACAGGGACTGGACTCCTGTTAGTGCCCAGAGTCAGAACTAAACATGGGGAGGCTGCTTTTCAGATTCATGCAGCTAAAATCTGGAACAATCTTCCTGAAGATGTGAGACAGGCCTCCTCTCTGACAATGTTTAAGACAAGGTTAAAAACAGTTCTGTTCAGCTGTGCATACAACTGAGGGATTTTATATTTGTATCTTTCTTTTTAATGTACTGTGATTATTTATGATTTGAATGCTTTCTTATTTTGTTCAGCACTTTGAGTTGCCTTGTGTATGAATTGTGCTATACAAATAAACTTGCCTTGCATTTTGGTTGGAACTATTTTACCTATTGGTTTATACAACCATTTGATCCATAAGTGAGTTCAGTCATGATGTAAAGGTGTATTTGTTGTGCGGCTGAAGAGGCTTAGGCCAGATTCACCTCCCTGCAGCGAGTGAGAGAGCGGCCGAGAGATACATTACTGCCTCCAGCTGAGATCAAGCAGAGGCCGATCCACGACCAAGGGCACGATCACACACTCTCTCTGCATCTAAGAGTACAGTCTCTGAGTGGGTCTGCCTAAACTATATGCATGTCTTCTATTATGTAATCAAAATAAAGAAATACATATTGCTCATAATTGTTCAGGAGACAAGTAAATGGCCTGTATAATAAATGCAGAAACTGAAATCAACTGAATACAGGTGAAACTCAGGAATATTATATAACCTATATAACTTATATTTTATGACAAACACTGTGTAATCTGTGAAGGGAGACACTCATCCGCTCTGTATGAAGGCCCGACTGGTGCAAGTTTAAAAGATGATCAAAGATGTACGGTTCATTAGCTGATTAACGGCTAAGACCACAGCCTTTCTTCTCTGCCATGACCTCCTGATGAAAAAACCCTACAGCAAATGGGGTCTATTCGAACGCAGTCAGATTGTTTAACTGTTATGGTTATGGAACAATGTATAGACCTAAATCAATTCCTCCAGACAGACGATAGGCAGCCCCCTAAATTACACAAATAAAATACAAATCAGAACCCGGGAATAAAATTATCCACAGGGGACTTATCATACATCACTGGATATTGGTAGAAAGTTAAAAAAATGAATTAATTTGAATGCATTAATTGTTTCTTCAGTCTCACTCACTCAAATCATTGTGAGAAAAACTTGCAAAAGACAATTATATTTAGCGTCAATACTACAGCATCTGCAACGCTCGAGGCGGCAAGGATGCATCTGCTCTGGTGTTTTCCCTGATGAGTGGACAGACACAATAATCTCACATATACTGATTATTTCATTTATTTCAAATTATGAGAAAAAAAACAATACACCGTGGATCTACACCCATACGTGAAAACACAACATTGATCTATACAAACCCTGCATAAAGACAAGCACGTCGGTTAAGTAAGTCATGTGTGGATGTGAGGCTTCAACAATTTATAGAGAATAATCAATACAGTAATGCTTGGAAAGAAACAACACGGCTTGTAATAATTTGTTTCCTAATTCATACACAAACCTAATTAGCTGATATATGTCTTACTAGAAAAATACATTCTGCAATAACGCAATAAGGACATGTTCCAGTATAACATTTCTTTCCTATAAAAAGGTGAATAGAAGACTGTAGAAATTGCAGTATGTTTTCTCATGTCCCCAGAGAGGTCAGCTCCTCCATCTCATTCAGAGCTGTTGCTGGGTGACGAACACTTAGTAAAGAAGTCTGCTACACTGTTTAGCTTCGATATTTATTTCCATCATTTGTCGCAACTCTGAATGATGCAAATTGTCTAAAAATGTATGTGGTATTGTAGCAAAGAAAGTCGAATATATTTAAGACACATTTCAAAGTAAAATAGTTTTCATAAGATTAAATAAATGCCCAAATAAATAAATAAAGGCATGACGTCATCTGCAGTTGTCTTAATGATGCGTTGTGAGGAGTTTTTCCGACATCTGCTTGATAAAATATCACACTTTAAAGTTGTGTTCAACACCAAAATAGCAAAAATCCTTATTATGACTGACATAGAGAAGATTCTTGGCTTGTGTGTAAACGGGGTGTGATTTAATACAGTCTATAAAGGTCAGGGCCAAAGTGGTGGGATGTAAATCAGAGCCAGAGTGTATGTATTGTGGTAAATAGGTCAGAGTAGGGCAGAGAGGTGGCTTCAGGCTGAACTTGAAACCAAACAACTATGTGCATTTAAAAAGGCCTCTCATGCATGAGGGAAGACATGCAATAAAAAAATGTGTCACCTGCCACCACCAAACAGACAAGCACACCAGACCATCATATTAACTACTTAACTACAGCTAAAGGACTTATAGGAGGAACACACAAAGCGCTGTGGTCGGGTCATGTGATTGGTGTCCTATGATTTCATTGGTCGGCTGATCTATTCTGCTCCACAGGCAATCGCATAATAGGAAGTATGCATCAATCTTTCATGTGACATTTACCACAGACACACAAGCCACTGTATCCGGGGACACACACAACGAAACAGGACTGAAACATGCGCCCACACAGAAGGCTGTTGAGGTTAATAGCTCACCTGGTTCACTTGCAGATTGTACCAGGTTCTCATCAATTTCATATAATACTTTTATAGTATAGCATAGTACAGCATGCGACAAAAATGGCTCAATGTCAGGTATTAGAATGGAGACTGTGGTTATTAAAGTTGTTCAATGAGTGACAGACAAGCCCGTTTCGCTCAATCTTTATCTGGTTACCATCAATGTTGCCCATGCTATAAAAATGACTAACTAATGTAGCCAATTACTCGACGTACTGGAGCAATGAAAAGCACTGGAGCTTTACGTGACCTTTTCCTGGAGGAACATTATGAGTCAATAACTCATTAACATAAACATACATAGCCCTTCTTTCACTGAGGCACACTATCTCGCTCCTAATGCCCCTTACATGGTCCATGGCAGTGCTAGAGGGTACGAATGCTGTGCCTGCCCGTGCCTATAGCTGGCTGGGTTTCTTCTGGTTTCCCCCAATACCCAAAACATGCAGCAGTGTGAATTTGGAGAGTGCGTGAATGATGGTGGCAAAAGACTGGCTGCCTTGCTTCCATCAAATCTGCCACAGGGCATTATTGTTATTATGGATGTATGGAGCAGAATTACACATGGACAACATGCAAACGATGGCAGTTGAAGGGAACGACTCCGCCCCCACGGTATCCTCGAGACCCTCCACCCACACTCAAGCACTCAGCATAAATCACAGCCACGGTCTGTTGGGTGATTGACAGCATGCGTTAATAGCTGATGAGATTATAAATAAATGCCAGTGTGTTTGAGAGTTGCGTGTGTCTTGTAGAGAGGATTAGGCCAAGGGAGGCTAATGGTGTGTTCATCGATCTGGTCTTTGCACTCGGGACAGGTGGAATTATCTATACACATGTTGATCTTTCTGCTGACTCAGAGAACATATGGCAGCGTAGACAGTTGATCTCAAGTGTGCAGTTGTTGTTCTGATAGCTACGCACTCTGATAGAGAACTATTCACAGCATTCTCTTCACAATAATGAAAGTGGACAGGAACATGTGGCTCTACAAACTATGAACCTATCTGCAATTTGATGCTCGTGAGTCCTGAACATATTCACAGCCTGTTCGTCCAGGGGAGTGGATCACTTTCTCTGCGATATTGTTCTTTCCATTATTATAATATTTTTTACGAGACAAGAAGGAGGGTGTCAGGTGTTAGTATTTAGAATTAAAAATGTATCTTGCTGATTCAACAATGTCCTATTGGTGTCGGGATTTTCAAAAAATAAACTTAAAAAATGTACGTTGATCATTTGAGATCCTTCCTCATATGAACTCAATGTTTCCTTTTAGAAGCACTGGATTCATTTTTATTGTCAAGGTATTTTTGCACTAATTTTAAAGCTCTCTCTTAAAAGATTTCCTTTGGGATTATTTCAAATGATGCCTCCCTTTATACTGCAGTGAAAGATCAGACGCATGCAGTGTTTGTGTGTGCTACGTACTACTGCGCTGAGTCGTTGAGCTGGTACTCGCGGGCGCGGCTGAAGCACTCCTGGATGCCCGAGTCGGCCCACAGGCGCATCATGGCGGACAGCAGCTCGGCGGAGTAAGGCTCTGTGTCCTCCATACGACTCACCACATCACACACCATTTTTGCATCCGCCTAGAAACATAAAGTATAGGGTTAGTGGATCAAGAGCTCTTCATGCCATTGTGTAACTTATTATTGTGCTAATATCCCACGGTAATCATGTGGTATTGGGATAATTACAACAAACATTATCATTCATCAAACATCAAACATTCATCAGGGACCTGTGCACAGGGCAGGTAAACAGTATATTCTGCTATAGGCTGTAGGAGCAATGCGGTACAACTAAAGATTTCTTCCTATTACGTTCGATTTCTTCCTATTACATGAGTTTTGTCAACCGTTATTGTATCAGCAACCTTCATTTACTGCACTTCAACGGCTTACTGAGCAAAACCACAAAACTGCATTTCTGAGTGAAAGGCTGCAGAGACAGACATTTTGTACAATCCAACAGTATTCAGATTGATACTGAGAACTTCAGCAACAAATAGTAACAATACTAATAAATACAGATGAACTCATGCATGCATGCCTAACAAGGTAATGTGCTCCTGGTGAAAGCCAGGAGTACAACAAAGCATCAACCTTCGCCGCATCTTTCTCCAGCAGCTAATCCCATTGCCCTTTTCCAAAACACTCTTATGCTCATTGATTTCTTCTCCAAAAACTTCCGGTAGTCCATGATCACTGCTGTTCCTACTACTGCTGACCATTTTATTGGCTGTGCTTGTCAACACTGCTCCATGGTGACATATTGAGACATATCAGTAAAGGCACTAAAATATCTTACTTTTAATCAACTTTATGAACAACCACATAGTTGATTGAATATAGGATATTTAGTAGAAATACTATATACTATAGTAACAGTTCAACACTTGAACAATAGAAGAACACAGGTTATTCTATTTCAAATGCCTCTGGATGCAACACCACACAGGTATTTCAACAATTGTCCAGCAGAGTTCAACATGTTACTCCTTCTTATTATAATTATGTAGAGCATAGGTTGGATTGAAAAGACAACATCTTCCCATGGACCCACCACCTGCAGGAAGATCAGCGAGGGACTGGTGCTATGAGACTTGGGTGGCAGCTCTGATTGCCACCTCCCCCGTCCCAGAAATGGATTAATAAATGGGTAGAAAATGACATGACATGACATGACATAACATGACACAACTCATAATGTGATCTGAATGAGCTGTGCCCGGGTTTGAGAAATTAAGCATGTACAAAGCAATCAGGAGGAGATAATCAAAGATTGCCAATTTGGAGGTTTGACATTGAGCATGCTCCTGCAGCACAAACTTATTAAAGTACCTGTACAACTCTACTACAGCGCCCATGTCTCACAAAGCATGTTAATTTCTAGAAAGTGCAGAAATTTGCAAAAAATGATGTCATTAAAGCAACGGAGCATTGAGTGCCAACATTATGTTTGCAAGTGAAATATGAAGAACTACAAAAGCACTGAGAGCTTTCAGGAAAAATGAAAGCACCGTATGGCTCCGCTTTTTTCCATTGTATCAAATCTTTTCAATTTGATGTGAGTGAAACAAAGCAAGACAGATGAATTCCTGTAAAACGTTTCCTCAACAAGTAAGTCCTTTTATTCTCTGGCTTTTAACACCCCGTGAGTCGTGTGGTCTTCTGTGTTTTTTTATTTATTTTATTTTATTTTTTATCTTTTTGTTATATATACATTTGTGTATTTAATTATTTGTTGCCATTTTGCATGTTGTACAGCACTTTGGAGACTGCTTGTTTATGAAATGTGCTATATAAATAAAGTGGATTGGATTGGATTGGATTGAAGTCATGTTTTGACCAGTGAAATTCTTCAGACAGGCCTAATTTTTATTTGACCTCCTCAGACGATTATGATGGCCCGAATACACAGTGCTGTCATCTCTATTAGACATTTGGCTCGTGGCTCAGTATTAGCACTAGTGCAGTGACCTGTTCCAGCTCCCCTCTGAGCGTCCACCATCATCATGTCGTAGTTTGTCAGTCTGTCTCTCTGACTACACACTGTTCTTGAAATTTGGGCCCCACTCCAAATGTAGCAATGGCACACTAATTTTAACAAAGCAATCCTGGCTCGGCCGTGGCTTTGTATCAGTTCCTTTCACCAAACCCTTAATCCAAACCCTATTTGTATTGATGTATTGTGAGTATTATATTACAATTATTTTACAATTAACTCAGATGTTATAATATCCAATCGTCCATTTTCTTCCACTTTTCTGCAACTGCTGTTTTCTTTGCAAAAACAGCAGTCTGAGTAGAGTTCCTCCAGCTCATCTGGTCATAATATAATTTCAATGATTTACTTACACCTGACCCTAACCCTAACAATATATGCAGTCCAGTGACAGTCTTGTTGAAAATGCATGCAAGGGTTGAGACAAGACTCCCCTAAATTGAGATTTTGCAATCTCAGTGGGACTTTCCTGGTTAAATAAAGGTCAATAAATAAATAAGAAAATACAACAACAATTGGTTTAAGAAAAGAGACAGAAACCAGGTAAAAGTTAAAAGGCCAACAATAAAATATAGGTAATGGCGTCTGTCTATAGTCATATTACATAAAATCACATACAGGTTTTTCAGCGTAGTGATTTTTAATTATCTGCTATACAGAAATTTGAAAAAATAAGCAAATTGAGAGAAAATGGTCCATGCTTTAGCCATTTTTCCTGATATTGAGTTGGAGCCTAATTGACGACATTGACATAAATCCTTCTTCTCTTTCTTTGTGTGTGCGGTGATCACCAGGCGATGTCTGATGTTGCAGCTGACTGTGGTTAATAGCAGACACACTCGGCAGGATATTGAATAGGCGTTCGGCAGCACGACCATGTTACCACTCAGATCTCCCCTCTCATCTGCAGTTTATTTTTACCGTTTTTACTGTTTTCGTAACATTACATCAAATAATAATGACAAGACCTGTGCAATATAAGATCATAAACAAAAACCATAGACTGTATATAATAACGGACAGAGTCACGCCTATCTCCGCCGTTCATAGGAGTTGGCCATGAAAAGTGCTTTCATGGAGCAATCCAAAATGGCCGCAAGTGATCCCGCCGACAAGAAAAATGTGAAAAAATGCATCTGCGCATGCGTCAGCCGGCGCAGCTCCATTCATTTGAACGAGAGACTTCAAAAATTTACAGCAAGTAAACTAGACTGGTCCAAAAAAATTCACCCCCCTCAGCATTGACACACATGTGGAACGGAGCTTTGGGCCAAGAGCCAACTTTTGGTCCATCCTGTAAAGACGTTTTTGAGAGGTCTGCCAACGCTATATGTTAGCATTGGCTCATTCTTCTTCTGGGTCCACCCCCATCGGCCCGGGGTGGTATTGCAAGCATGTCAGCGCACGTCATTTTGGCCACTTTTGAGCTGGGACCCGCCCCCACTGACAAAAACACATTTCTAGAGGTACGATCAGGATGTTTGAAGCCCATCACGGACACCGATCATCTTAATAACGTAAGCCGAAGAGTGCTGCAGCTGCCCAGTCCTAAATTTTGTTTTGATTTTATAGAACTGTGTAATTTAATCTAATTTAAGTAGGACTGTCTGTTAAATGCACCTCTCTTTTACCCAGTGCAGAGAGTTTTGGGTACCAATTGACCTGTCGACAAATTTGGTTCTGGGGAATTGATGGAGTTGGGCTGTTTATTCATTTTTTCCCCTTTTGCAACCTATGCAGATATTGTGTTTGTGTACTGTATGTATCCTAAAATACTGTGTCATCAGTTTTTCTTTGAATGAATCCAGCGCTTTCTAGGAGTCATTGCCAAATCTATGCAGAGGTCTCGCGCCCACTCAGAGGCTCCAACACCATCTTTTCCTATTTGCTGGTGCTCTCCATCTGTCATCTGGTGCAAGGCGACGCTCCCACTCCAAGGGATTTTATTTGATGCAAATGCATGTGAGGCGTGTTCCAGCTTCCTCCGTCAACAGCATCGTGCAGACGTCCAGATGATGTGAATGACAAATTAAATGCCAAGAAGCCCGGCTGATTTTGTATCACATGTGGGAACGGGCTGTCTTTGTAAAGCTCTGGGCAACAGGCCACAGACTCACTTAAAAGCCACAGCTGAGGCCAAGGCTATCGAGGAAGGGTCAGAATCCTTTTGAGGCCATGCAAAAATATAGACAAGAAAAACTATGGACACTCATCTCTCATTTGCCTAGTGGAACCAAGTATGCGCAATGCAATAAAGTTTATCTATTTGCAATATATTTCAACTTACAGTGCAATGACAACATGTGCATTTAACATGTGCTGCAATAACCCGAATAAGGACAACAGTGAAGATTCCATTTGCATAAGCACTTTCCTCATATCAACCCCGAAGCAGCTTCTACTCTGCTCAAGATTTATCTTGAGAATCTTGTTGATTTCAGAGGTAGCACACTCGCTTTTGGTAATATTTTCTATTCTAAAATGCAAACTGAATGCTGTAGGCAGAAGAATGTTGCTGTTTAAAAAGGTTGAATAAACCAACAGCAAATGCTGACAATGACAACAATTTGCGACCGTGCCTAATCGGTGCATTTACAGAGCTTTTTGTGAAAAGATTGTATGAGCAAAACAGGTGCAAAAGTGGGCTACAACATTTAAGCATGTCCGATGTGGCATTTATTCTCCACTTTGAAATTTTTTACATGAATTGAATAGAGCTTTATAAAGGGAAATGGGTTACTGGCTATTCATGCATTCGTTCATTTATGGTGTGTGTAATTTTCAACACTTGACCAGAGGAGTCTTTTAGGACACATTTAACATTTACAAATAAGATACCATTAAAGGTTTAGGGCTATGGGTTTTTGCATTTACAACAATAGAATCATGTGTACAAGTTTGGTCTGATTTCAGCAATCAGACCAAACAGTCCACAGTCATAGACCAACAGTTGAGGATGAGGAAGAGCATTTCACAGTCTGGTTCAATTAGAGGAACTGGTGGACTGTGTGCAAAGGATGTTTTGATATTTAACCAGTGCACCCTAAGGATAGCTCATTTTGGCAGAAATGTTATATTTGCT